TTTGAAGTGACCAAATCAGTCTTCTTTAATTTATTGGTAATAAAATAACACAGAAATTTTTATTGTAAGGACTAACCAAATCAGTTACAGATAGGGTCAAAATCAAGAATATAGTTGAATTTTAAAAAAATGGAACATTACTTCTTCCTGACGCATAAAATATTCACTGCAAATTTTTTTTTCTTATTGCATAAATGTTCTGTGTATCCCTTTTCTCCTGGTTTTCTTCTGCTGCAAAAAAAAAAGTATCAAGGGAGGATACAGAAGTGGTGTGAATTTCTTGGATAATCTGGAATGTTAGAAAAAGCAGCTTCTTAAAACAACTTCATTAAGATAAAATTCACATGCCATTAAACTTGCCTCTAAAATGTACAATTCATTGGTTTTTAAAATATTCACAGAGTTGTACAACTATCACCACAATGAATTTCAGAACATTTTTATCACCCAAAAATACTGTATTACTCCTCTTCTCCCCCAGCTCACGCAACCCTAAGCAACCACAAATGTTCTGTCTCTAGATTGGCCATTCTGGACATTTCAACATGCGGTGTTTTATGACATGCTTCTTTTATTTAGTCCTTCATATCCTTGGGTTGCTGATTAATATTCCATTATATGAATGTATCATAATTATCTGTTCATCAATAAATTGTGATGTAGTCATATATTCATCAGTTGATGAACATTAAGATTTTTTAATATCTTTGGCTCTTCTGAATAATGCTGTTGTGAACACTCATGTATGAGTCTCTGTGGACATATGTTTTCATTTCCTGGGAGTGAAATTGCTGGGTCACATGGTGACTCTGTGTTTAACCTTTAGAGGAACTGCCAGACTGTTTACTGTTGAGTTTTGAGAGGGCCTTATATAGTCTAGGTATTAGTCTCTTGTTGGATATTTGATTTGTGAATCTTTTCTACCAGCCTGTAGCTTCTCTTTTTATTTTCTTAATAGGTTCCTTTGTAGAGCAAAAGTTTTTAATTTTGATGAAGTCTATGTTACCAAGTTTTTCTTTTATGGATTGTAATTTTGGTGTTAACTCTAGCCTTAGATTGCAAAGATTTTTTTTTTTTTTTTGGTAAAAGTTTTATACTTCATTGATCTACATTTAAGTCCATGATTCATTTAAAGGTAATTTCCTTTTAAAAACTGTTTTATATTGTATATATTTTTTATTACCATTTAGTCTCCTTACATACCCTTTTCCCCGCCATCACCACACTGTTGTCCATGTCCATGAGTCCTTTTTCCTGAGGTTAAGAGATGGATGGATAAAATTAATTTTTATATAAGTTATGAGCCTTAGGTCAAGGTTTGGCTTTTTGTCTATAGATGTCCAGTTATAGTAGGCCGGTTGTTGAAGAGACTGTCGTTCCTCCATTGAATTGCTTTTGCACCTGTCAAATATCAGTTGGGCATATTTATGCGCATCTTTTATGGGTTCTCTATTCTATTAACCTAAAGTCGTATAGTTTTAATATCTTTATATGATGTCTTAAAATGGGCAGACTGATACTTACTACCTTATTTTTTTCTCCAAAATTCTTGTAGCTAGCCTAATTCCTTGTCTTTACATAATTTTAGAATAATATTGCCCATGCCTACAACAATATGCTGAGATTTTCATAGAAATTATCTTGAACCTGTTATCAGGTTTATAGAGAATTGACATTTTTGCCATGATAAATCTTCTACAATGAACCCGTGAACACTACAGGATGGGCAAAAGTAGATTTACAATGATTAGAATTGAAAATAATACAATAATAAATAATAATATAAGAATAAACTGTGTTTTGCTAACTCACAACTGTAAACTTACTTTGCACCTGTATACATCTCTGGGATTTACTTATTCAGATCTTCTTTGATTTCTTTCCTCTGTCTCTTGTACGTTTTAGCACACAAGTCCTGTATATGTTGTTTTAGATTTAATTCGCAGTATTTCAGTTTTTTTAACCATTATGATTAGTATTTTTTTAAATTTAGGTTTTCACATGTTTATTGCTAACATATGGAAATATGATTGATTTTTTATAATGTTTTTTCTTGTATTCTGCAGCTTTGCTGTACTCTTATTTTTTTTACAAATCATTGGAATGTTTTTAAAAGATTTTATTTATTTTATTTTTAGACAGAAGACAAGGGAAGGAGAAAGGGAAATAAACATAAATGTATGGTTGCCTTTCAAGTGCTCCCTACTGGGGACCTGGCCCATAGCCCAGGCATGTGTCTTAACTGGGAATTGAACCAGCAATCCTTTGGTTCTCAGGCTGGCGCTCAATCCACTGAGCCACACCAGCCAGGGCTGAATCCTTTGAATTTTTTATGTAGACAGTTATCCTTGAATAAGAACAATGCACCTCATCCTTTCCAGGCTGTATGGCTGTATGTCTTTTGGTTTCTTGCTTAATACACTGGCTAGAACTTCCAGTGGTGTGTTAAATACGAGTGGCCGGTGTGGACATCTTTGCTGCATTCCTGATGGGAGGGGGAAAGCCTTCAGCCTCACCGTTGAGTATAATGTTAGCTCTGGATTTTCAGTTGATACTCTTCTTTATTAAGTTGACGAAGCTCCTCTTTTTATTTCTTGGGGAGCTTTTTTGCATCATGAATTGATGTTGAATTTTGTCAAAAGATTGCTATAAACTGTATGATTTTTCTTCTTCAGTTTGTTAATATTTTGCATTATGTTGATTGATTTTTTAATATAAACAGACTTGCATCCTTGGAATAAACCTCTCTTGGTAATGGTGTATAATTCTTTTATATGTTGCTGAATTCTATTTGCTTCTATTTTGTTAAGGATTTTTGAGACTATATTTATTAGAGATACTGCTTTGTAGTTTTCTTTTAGTTTTTGTATTTTCTTTTTTTCTGCCAAGAGATAAGGAATTTTCCACCCCTTACTTTGTTTTAGAAAGCATTGATCAAGGAACCAGTTTCAGCATAGCCACTTGGCCTTTCAGCCTTAGCTACTTGAAATACATATGTTTGCTCCTTAAGTTCTGTCCCAAAATATTGAATGTTCTCAGCTGAATAGTTACCTGGCATAGCCCAAGGACCCCATGGAAGGCTTAACAGTATTTATACCCAGAATCCTTATTTTTCCCTGATTTCTCATGGTTGTGATGTCCTGACATACCTCCTATCCTGGAGCCCAGTTTCCAGAAGGTCTTGGTGGTAAAGGATATTGGGGTTTGAAATCTAAACACCTACATGTCAATACTGGTATGTGAATGTAGTAGCTGTGTTATGTTGAGCAATTACTTAACCTCTCTGATTAAATGAGATCAATTTAAATGAATTTGTAAACTTCTGACTATATAAATGCCAGCTTTATTTTCATGGAACACTTTAATTGTACAGGAAAGGAAAATACTACTAATAAATGATTGTTACTATCTAAACTGTTCCTTAACATCTTTCACCTGTTTCTATAATAATTTGAAAAATTATCAAGGGTTAGGCAAGAAATGAGATTAAGAGATTTCAGAGATTTATATTTTTATTTAATAATCTGAAGTAATGATCTTTGATTTTATATTTAAGCAGTGAGTCTTTAGGAATGTGGCATTTACCTTCTCATCTCTTCTTTTTATTTTACTGATAGCCATTTCTAGTTAACTTAATGCTAAATTTTTAGTAATCCCCCTTCTTTATTTTAAAATTTTATCTTAAAAACCCAACAACAAGATCATCCTGCAAAGGGATGGCTTTGTTATTTTGAATTCATCAGGGGCCATTGATATAGCACTGTTCTTTTCCTTCTTTTTTTTCTGTTGCAGCAATTCTGAACAAAATGGTGGTACTAACATGGTGTGTTCCCTTCCCCAAATTTAAATGTTTAGACCTTGGATCTGCCTACTGCTGGGTCTAGTTCTGGACCATTCCTGGTGGTTAATGACTAAGGTTCTGTCTCTCCTGGTGCCTGTCATAGGCCTGAGGCAGCAAAGTTGAATATCACTTAGAAATATTTAAGTTACCACACCTTGGAAGAAAAGAAATCCTTGAATATTTGTAGCTTTTGGTTTTTAAAATATTTTGATGGATACTGTATTTGCAGTTACTGAAGTACTTGTTAAGAAGATTTGATTGTAAGGTTCAGCTCCTAGAGTAACTTCCGATGGTGATATTTTTATATACTATGATGGTGCAATACCTGTTGATAACCAATGAAAAATACTGAGACACCCTACTATCGATTTCCTAATTAGAAATAATGTGGTAGATGTAAATTGACATCAAAATATATCATTAAGGGTGGGAAGATAGCTGAGTAAGGACATTTGTATGAACTGTCAAGTTCGCAGGCAATTTTACAAAATGGGAGCTTTTGGCACCTGGATCTAGTTCAACTGTCTGCTTTCAGTCAGGTTCTTTCAGTGTAGTAATGATCTGACCTCCTATCTAATTCCCTCATTGACAGAGATGTTAGATTCTTTTGGGCAAAGTGCTTCAGGTCTCTTGCATTGACCCAGAGCACAAATCCCTCTTTTGTATCCTCCTTCACTTTCTAGGAATTCTTTTTCTCTTTTTGTCATAATTATGTCTAAACAAGCTAAAGTAACTATAGCAGGAACCTTGAAAGGACTCAAGTAAAAACATAATTTACTTCAGCATTATTTTTCTGTTTTTCCCAAATCTTAGTGAAAAAATTCAATATAGTTTACACGCATATGTATATATACATGCACATAGAAAGAAATAGAGCTCACATAAATGTTTGGTTTATTTGTCTCTTCCTAATTTTGGTAAATATACAGGGGTGGGGCAAAGGTAGGTCTACAGTTGTGAGTATGTGAAACGGTTCATTCTTTTATTATTTATTAATTATTCTATTTTCCATATAAACAACTGTAAACCTACTTTCACCTGCCTGTATTTTTAAAAAATGTATTGCATTTGCACCCAGTAAGTTCAAAAGTTTTAAGAGCTTTGATACCCCTTTCTTTTAGTCCTTCAAAACTGAGCCTGTGATTCCTACTTGTTTTAGCTGGGGTCTCGGCCGAGGCCATGCAGACGGTCACCACGGCTCCAGACACCACATCGGGGACCGAGGCCAAAGCCCAAGAGGAAGAGCACGACCTTGTAGATGATGACATCACTGCTGGTAAGGACACTTCTTTAACATAATCTGGATGAACCTTGTCCAGTTTTGGAAAATGCTCTTCTGTCATTTATAGGGGGACTAAGTGTGCTGATGGAATGGACGGAAACTTGTATTGATGGAGTGCTTGGTTTTATGAGGTTCTTTAGTGTCCTCCTTGATCTTGAAGAGCAGTCTGGGTTTGCTCGTTGTTGCCATAACAATGAACCTGCTGGCTGTGCATCTGATTTTCTGGGGCCCTTCTAATTCAGAGGCTAGGATTATTTCTAAAGCCTTGGAACATGTAGGGGAATACACCTATTATGTTATGAAAGGTTTTGCAATTATAGGGAGAACTGAAACTATTACAGTTGTAGTAGCAATATAGGCCAAATAAGGAAACTTACAGATACTCTTTTTACCTACGCTATAGAAATAAATGCTACTTTTAAAAGGTATTTACATTGCTTGGATATTGAACATTCTTATCTGCATTATTTATCATATAACCAGGCATAAAGTAAAATTTAGAAAAGCCATATAGCACATGTTTTCAGCCTATCTTCTTATAGATTTAAGCAGTTCCAATTACTGGATCTCCAAATGCACTTAGCTCCTTTTCTCTCAATGCACAGAGGATAAAAAACAACCTGGTATAGATATTTTTATTGGTATTAAGAATGATAAACTTCCGTTTTTGGTGTGGATGGTTAAAATGTAAAATCTGATGATATATGTCTATACTTTTCATAAAGCAGCAAATATTAACTTAATAGTAATGAATAATTTGAAAAGAAGCATGTCAGAAAATAGCAGTAAAGTTTTCACTAAAACTTGATTAAAGGGAGAAAAAAACAAAAGAAAGTTTTATTGTTTGTTTGTTTTCTTGTTAAAGCTCCGAGTGGCAGGTTCTTCCCCGCCAGCACCTGAATGCCTGCAAAATGGTTTCACGGGGAACAGGTTCAGGGAGCCTGATGGCCACCCTTGAAATTGACAAAGCTTGTATTAATTTAAAAACCCCAGTTTGTGTCGCTGATGCAAATAAGGAGTTGACTAAGTTGGGGAGCATGTGGTTTTCGGTAAAAATGAGATGATAGTCATTCTTGTTAGTTTTCCGTTCTTTTTCATGTCATCAGTTCATTGATTTTTTTTTAAATCATCTACTTTAAATATGAACTTTCAGAAACTTTCAACTTTTCTGAAAGTCATTTGCACATCACAATTATGGAATTTGTTCTAGTAGCTACTGAAAGAAATTATTTCATTTGCAAGTTTTTTAAACTAGTTTTCATTTTATTTCATTTTCATTACTTTTTAAAATGCTGTTATAGATGTTTCTGTTATATTTTAATTCCCTATAAATTTTAAAGGCCTTCTGTCTGTAAAAAGTAGTGATTTAATTCATGGGGAAAGAGAAGCTATCTTTGCAATAGTGCAATAACTCAGTAGTACAATGATTCGTAAGACTGCATTCATCACAGCACTTGACTATATTTTTATCTGATTGTTAAAATAATCAAGAAGCTTAAAAATAAAAATCTAGTTTTGGAGAGTCAATTAATGCTATATAAACTGTATTGGTATGAAGTTCAGTAAAGCATATGCAACGAATGGCTTATATCAGTTGATTTATTCATTTCATGCCATGGATAATAGAAGCAAGGATGTTCAATATTCAAAGAATTTAAATAACTTAAAAAAGGCTTCCTTAACATGTTGTCAAAGCAACTAGCGTGCTGCAGTCTGTAGATCGTTCAGGTTACCTTTTGATTATGTGACTTGATTAAGACGTGGTATAGATTTTTATGAAGGTTTAGAAGAAAACCATATTTCTTTTTATTGACTAGAATCCTGTATAAATTGTATTATGAAAAATAGGATAGATGCATTGAGAGAAACCTGTTCCAAGCATGATAATCTTGTTTGGGATAACCAACATTGTAGAGCACAAATGCAAAAGGGAAAACTGATCAGGTTAGCCTTTCACTTTGAAAAATCTGATTTTTTTTTTTTTTTTAGTTATTTAAAAGGAATCGCTCTAGTAATATCTCCTCATAAAATAAATAGAAATTATATCACGACAGATATTTGCCTGTATTTTGAATGGATTCTTATTTAGACACTGTAGTTAGGCTAAGATACATTGTTGTATTAATTTTATTTTTGCAGTAATCTGTAACTTAATTTTTTAATTAGCTCAACTGACCAAGATAGCAATTAGAATATGAAGTGTAAATTAAATTGCCACTTTTGAAATTTTTCTTTTGGGTGAGAACTGAATGAGGTATGCCTGTTGTTTTATGACACAAGCTCTGAACCTGGCTCTTTATGAGTATTTGCCTTACAAAAATAAAGAACCATGGGAAAAACTGTGTAAGTGTTGGCTATGATCAATTGGAACTAATTAAATTTATTTGAAATGAAGAGTCTTCACTGGAAGAGAACAGCTGGAAAAACTGGGAAGAAAAAATTGAGTCTTGATTGAGACAATTTAAACCTTCTCACTGTCATTTAAAAAATATGCTGTAGCTCCATTCTATATCTCTTTTTTTAAAGCTAATATCTATTGATCGGCTCTACAAAGTAAACCCACACTGTGCCTTGGTCAACATATATGCTTGCTTTTACTTAGTGTTTTATCTTAAGGTTCATCAAATTTTTTCCCTTAACCACATTTTAAATTACATATCAAAGCTCTATTAGCTATGTTTTTGCAGATAAATACTGTTTTTAATGTAGAAAATATTAAAACATTTCATTTTTTATATTTTATAGTATCCATGGTAATGTACTTTCCTTTTCAATGAAATTGCTTCAGGTTTTACAATATGCTGTATGTAAAATCTGTATTAACAGCAATAATTGTATTTTCTTTCAAGTGAAATGACTGGCATTAAGATTGTTTCTAGATTATTTATAATTTCAGAGTCACAAGAATATTACTCTAAACCTGTGGGTTTCTTTCATATGTGTACTTTATCTTTAATATTGTAATTCAAATGTTTCTGTAGATATATCATCAATATTTGTAAATAATGTGCACTTATTTTCATTATTAATATGAATAGGTCATAATTACAGTAATAGAATAAATCTCACTAAAAACTGACACACATAGAACAAATTTAGATAAATCATAATCTGCTTTTTTACGGTAGACCTTCTAGGTGACTTTAATTACCTTCATGCCGTTCTCATCGTGGTAAAGGATGGCGTTCTGTGGGAGGGCGAAGCTGTTGCATTTTAAAACAACCTCCCCCTAACTGCAGGTTAAAATTTTGGAAGGGTTTCATTCACAAACCTGCGTGGATCCATTTAAGGGAGCCACTGGATTTTTCTGAGGGTCATACTGCAGTGTCCTGCCTCATTCAGTAGAGCCAGGACAGAAACGGACCCTATATGGGTGGTAAGGGGCCAGGAGTCGCTGACATTGCCAGAAAGGCACCACGGGACAGAGGATGACCAGCCCGGGTGACAGCTTCCACTGCGGACAGCAAGTGAAGCAGTGCTGTATGAATCCAGATGGACCACTTGTATTTTGTTTTAAAACTTAAACTTAATTTGTTTTTAAAAAAAGATGGAAATACTATGGATAAAAGAAAAAATAGAGAAAGAGAAGTGGAAAGTAACATGGGCAACTTACAATATAATATCCAAGCACTTTACACTTAACTCTTATAACATTTCTTTGAAGCGGATACCAATATTTTTCCAGCTGTACTGAAGAGGGAACAAGCTCAGAGAAGTCACTTTTATATGGTTACATAGTTAACTAGCCTGAGACTTATAATGAGTTCTTGCCCGATTCAAAAGCTTCTGTGCGGTCGTAAGCAGCACTCAGACCACCTCACCTTCTCAAACTCATTGAACTTTGGCAGACTTTCATCTTCTTTTGAAATGTGAGGTGATGTGAGAGTTTACCTTTATTGCTTATAACAAAAGGATAAGCCTGGTATCTGCTGGATATCCTATCATATTATTTAACATGCAAACTTGTTATTCAAGTGTAGGCCACAAGGTTATCGTCTTAGGGAAAAAAATCACATATTCTTTAAATTTTCAGCCACTATTTTGGACTACTGTGATATAAGACTGTAAATATTACTGTATATTACTAACAGTTATTTTATTGCATATATATAAAATGAAATATTTATTGTTCTGTCTAGCTTTTTGAAATCATCAGTATAAAACAGATACCTTAACATATATTCATAAATTAAAGTCAATGTCTTTAGTATATGGAGATAGAACTGACAAGGGTATCTAGTCTAAGACTAAATATTGATTTGTGCATTTTACCATTTACCAAAAGTTCTATTCATAAAATGTTTATGCATTTATTTTGGCTGAAAGATAGAAAATTCATTCATTTAAGTATACATATGTTCCAAAGTGCAAATTTTATGGCACTATGTATTCAGAACTCAAGCACTTTCTAAGCATAGAGCCAGAAACCTTATAATTAATGAAGTACAGTGAGACTTCTACATCATGCCCTGCCCTTTCTCATTCTTTAATTTATAACTGACAGTCTAAAAATTAGTGCTACACCTATGTAAATTTTAAATTATTGGTTCTGAATGGTGATTACTTCTCTTGCTTTTGAGTTCAGAATATTAGCTACTACAAAATATAAATTTACTATATGAAAGTTTTTAGATAATTATAAATTATGAATGCTGCGATTTATTTACCATGTAGTTTTCATGAACACAAATATTAAGAAAAATGTAAGTGTGGATTTTATAGTTTTCTGGGTGAAATATGTCACTACGAAATTTCTTCTATACTTTCTTTTTAATCTAGAGGAGGGAAATGTAAATTAAAATATTTTTGTTTAGTGTTTAACGCTCGGTTCTACTTGTATGTTGACAGGCTTTTCAGTAGAGTGTTTCTACATATGGTGTTTGAGAGTTTCCGACAGGAATATTAAGATACAGCCAAATTATGGCTTTTAGTTATTCGCCTTTTTCCTCATATTTTCCCTCTGAGTGACTGACTCGCCTTTTCTTTGGTTTTGA